AAACTCTTTTAAAGAAAAGGGGAATGAATTATTTAAGAGTTTTATTTCTGTCAAGTAGGGAAGTACAAGAAAGTAATATTTTACCTTTGTGAGTAATTATATATTTTATGTTATGTGAATAAATTTATAGGAAGTGCTGGGTGCAGTGACTCATGCCTGTGATCCCTGCACTTTGGGAGAGCAAGGTGGGTGGATCACCTGAAGTCAGGGGTTCGAGACCAGACTGGCCAACATGGTAAACCTGTCTCTACTAAAAATAGAAAAATTAGTCAGGTGTGGTGGTGCATGCCTGTAATCCCAGCTACTTGGAAGGCTGAGACAGGAGAATTACTTGAACCCAGGAGGTGGAGGCTGCAGTGAACTGAGATTGCACCACTGCATCCAGCCTGGGCAAAAGAGCAAGACTGTCCCTCCCCAAAAAATGAATTTACAGGAAGATGAATAGTTTTTAAATTAAATTATAAAGGAACCGACTTTATCGAAATAGTTATCTTTACCTAAATTCCATAACTTAAAAATAGCTTTTCTCCCATTCCCTCCCTCTTAACCAGTATGAAAATAAGAAAAAATGTATTGCAGTTTTAAAAGAAAGAAGAAAATATGTATGACTTCAGATTGGAGTCACAGGAAAGTTCTGTAAAGAGGGTGGACAAAAAGCTTCAGTATCCTTAGGGCACAGTAAATCTATTTATTGCTCCACCAACTTGAAGCCTAAAGCTAAAACTGTCATTATGTCACCTAGACAAACTTCTCAAGAGGGAAAGCTGAACTTCTCCTACTTTAAAATGAATGCAAGCTATTGAGAAATAACAAACTGAAGAGTATTTTGCATTTTCAGTACCTCTAACCACAGTGTTTTCGAGCTGAATTTGAAGATAAGGTGGCTAATTTAAACAGGATATAAATGTCCTTTTCAGATTGGATACAGCAGGAAAATATATGGCTTTTTTTTTTCCTTCTGGTTGTTAATTTTCACCAAATCTGGGCAGTCTATCCTAAAGAGAGGTCATAGTTCTGACCTCTGGCTTTGTCAGCACATTATTGCATTTACGGTATTGATTGGTCACCTTCTTTTTTTTTTTTTTTTTGAGACAGAGTCTTGTTCTGTCGCCAGGCGCTAGGCTGGAGTGCAGTGGCGTGACCTGGGCTCACTGCAACCTCCGCCTCCCAGGTTCAAGCAATTCTCCTGCCTCAGCCTCCTGAGTAGCTGGGATCACAGGTGTGTGCCACCACGCCCAGCTAACTTTTTTATATTTTTAGTGGAGACGGAGTTTCACCATATTGGCCAGGATGATCTCAATCTCGACCTCGTGATCCGCCCACCTCGGCCTCCCAAAGTGCTGGGATTACAGGTGTGAGCCACCGCGCCCGGCCTGATTGGTCGCCTTCTTTTCCTAGTCAACCCTTGAAGCTGTACTGGTGGCCAGTGACCTTCCAACACAATCCAGATTGTGGAACTCACTGTATGCTGGGATCCATAGGCAAATGGTGTGTGCAGGAAAAAAAAGAAAGAATCTTACGCTGTCCTCATTTTTGAAAATTAAATGCGGAATACTTTCCAGGATAATACAGTGTTTTCAAAGATTATCTCTTCTGGCCGGGTGCGGTGGCTCATGCCTGTAATCCCAGCACTTTGGAAGGCAAGGTGGGAAGATCGCTTGAGGCCAAGAGTTCAAGACCAGCCTGACCAACATGGCGCAAGCCTGTCTCTACAAAAAGTACAAAAATTAGCCAGGCGTGGTGGCAGATGCCTGTAATCCCAGCTACTCGGGAGGCTGAGGCAGGATGATCGCTCGAATCCAGGAGGCAGAGGTTGTAGTGAGCCTGAGATCATGTCACTGCACTACCAACTATGTGACAGAGTGAGACTGTGTCCCCACACTCCCCACCCCAGAAAGAAGAACTACCATTTTGGGGTCTGGAGGACAGTGGCTTCCTTCTCACGGTTCCACTAGGCGGTGCCCCAGTGGAAACCCTGTGCAGAAGCTCCAACCGCACATTTTTCCTCTGTACTACCCTCGTAGAGGTTCTCTGTGGGGGCTGTGCCCTTGCAGCAGGCTTCTGCCTGAACACCCAAGCTTTTTCAGATATCCCCTGAAATCTAGGTGGAGTCTCGCAAGCTCCCATCACTTTTGCATTCTGTGCATCTGCAGGCTTAACATGTGGCTGCTAAGGCTTTCAGCTTGCACTCCATGAAGCAGAAGCCTGAGTTGTATCTGGGCCCTTTGAGCAAAGGCCGGAGCCAGCGTGATGGAATGCAGGGAGAACAGTGTCCTGAGGCTGCACCGGGGCCCTTGACCTGGCCCTCGAGACAGTGACCGAAAGGGTGATGTTGCCTCTGTGTATCAAATGTGGGCATGGCGGTCCTCACATCTGCCCAAGGTTGCGGTCAGGGATGGATTAAGAACTGAACTCAAAGTGGACACATTCCTGCTTTAGTTATAAATTGTCTGCCACTTTTGTAAAGCTTGGTATATCTTATTTTTCTTTTGACTTTTGGAAAGTCAAAAATACAGAAGTAATATAAATCCCTTGTATCCATCTAGCAGCTCCTCAGTTATCAATTCATGGCCCATCTCATTTCACCTGCTCTTATTTTTTAGTTTTTCATTTTGTAATGCTTGTGTTCAACACAGGAACGTTTATTAAGTACTACATGTGCCAGAGATTGTATTCAGTGAGTACATAAAAATGGATAAGAACATTTCTTTCCTCAGCTTCTCATGATCCAATAGCAAAGGCACACATATACAAGGATTATATAATGTGGGCAATAACTGGCATAAGCCAAAGGCTATGGGAACAGAAAAGAGAGTGATTAGCACATCCCTGAGCAGTGGAGGGAAGGGAGTTTGGAGAACTCACAAAGTGAGACTGCATAAAGCGCAGTTGGAAAGACAGATAAAGGTAGAAGAAAGCGTAGGCCAGCCCCGGGGGCTCAAACCTGTAATCCCAGCACTCTGGGAGGCTGAGGACAGATTGCTTGAGTGCAGAAGTTTGAGAGCAGCCTGGGCAACATAGCAAAAACCTATTTCTACTAAAAATACAAATATTATCTGGGTATGGTGGCTGGTGCCTATAGCTTCAGCTACTTTGGAGACAGAGGTGGGAGAATCACCTGAGCCCAGGAGGTTGAAGCTACAGTGAGCTGAGATCACACCACTGCACTCCAGCCTGGGCAACGGAAGTGAAACCCTGTTCCCCCCGGCCCCCCAACCCCGCCACAAAAAAAATAGAGGAAAGAGAATTAGCGCAAAAGTATTCTGACTGCAAGGAATTGGAAGTGAGAGTATTTGGAAGCAATGATGGAGATATAGCCAGAAACATGGGTTGGTCCACTTTCTGAAAAGCCTCACTTGCCACTCCAGGAAATTTAAATTTTATTTTGTTGGTTTTCTTATTTTAATTTTTTTTTTAAGGGACAGGGTCTTGCTGTGTGCCCAGGCTTGTCTTGAACTCCTGGACTCAAGGCTATCCTCCCACCTCAGCCTCCCAAGTAGCTGGGATTATAGGTGTATGCCACCACACCCAGCTTAACTTTTATTTTGTAGGGAATGGGGAACAATACAATGCTGTAAAGAAAGAACTTGGCTGGGCACAGTGGCTCATACCTGTAATCACAGAACTTTGGAAGGCAAAGGAGGGCAGATCGCTTGAGGCCAGGAATTCAAGATCAGCCTAAGTAACATAGTGAGACTCCATCTCTAATTAAAAAGAAAAATAAAAGATTTTTAAAACCCCAAGAACTGGAATGAATGGGATGAGTATTTTATAAGGGTAGTGCTAGCAACAATGAAGAGCATAGATCTGATGGAGAGAGCTTGTGACAGGGAAACCCATTAGGAGACTGGCTGACCAGAGTAGATGAGCATTCGGCTGTAGAAGATAGGGTGAAAGGCTAGGTGGAGCTGCATAAACGTGGACTCGCAGAAGTAGGCTGAAGAGTTTGATCAGTTAAGGCTTTATGGAGAAGATAACTTTTGACCTCGATCTTGAAAATGAAAACATAGGAAATGAAGGGAAGGAAGTGCAGTATTAGTGAACAGTATGTCCAAAAGCATTGGGCTACAAAAATGCGAGGAATGTTCAGGAACTCACAAGAAGGGAAAGGAAGCCAGCTGGCTGGCTAACAAGCATATCGTGAAACTAGTGCCAGCAAAAGATGGCACTTTAATGATTCCAGGACAGGCAGTTGAGGCAGGACTTGGTGACTAATAGCAAATGCTAGGCAAGGGAGAGAAATGAATTGCTAATATGAGGTTTCTAGACAAAATATGTATATATATATTTTAAAGGTAGAACATTAAATCAGACAGAAAGTGCAAAGGCAGGTTAACCAGGAGAACTTTGTATAGTTGTGGACACGCTTAGTATGTACCTGTGGAACATCGGGGTGGAAACGCCCTGTGGGCTTTGGAAATTCAAGCGTAGAAAGTAGATTTGGAATCATTAGCAGGAAGTGATGAGAGCCTGAAGCTAATGAAAAGGTGCCTATTTGTTGTTCTGCCTTTTTTTTTGTTTTTCTTTTTAAAGAGACAGAGTTTCACCATGGCCAGGATGGTCTTGATCTCTTGACCTCATGATCTGCCCGCCTCGGCCTCCCAAAGTGCTGGGATTACAGGCGTGAGCTACTGCGTCCAGCCTGTTTTACTGCTTTTATAATACAGACTGGGTGTACCTAAATCCGTTTGTGAAACATCTCACTCTGCTTAATAAAGTTTAGAGCATGACGCTCAAGAATAGTGGTGTGTTCTGTCTTAGTTGCTGTGTAACCTGAATACTATAACTGGCATCTTTTATTTAAGCATTGTCTCTGCTTTCCTCAATAATATTTATAGCAGTATTTTGTTATGACAAATAACAAATACTGTACACAGTCGTTCAGTTGGGGGCTATCTAGGGTTGCTTTTCATTGTAAACATGACCACGCCTTGTTCTGCTCACTGAATGCAGAATGAGATCCTAGGCCACAGACTCACAGTTTCTATTTCTTACTCCAGGTTTCATCGTCCATAACGAAATGTGAGACTATTTGGAAACAGAGACTGATCATCTTTGGGGGAAGCCTTGCTTCCTGAAAACCTGATATTGCACTGGGATTTGAATGTGTGTGTTTCCGTTTAACTTGTGGTGGAGGAAGTGTATGACTCAGCCTGGTTGGGAAGTGCTCCTCACCTGTGCAGCCCAGATGGCTCCAACAAGCCAAGAGAAGGATGCAGGAACCCTTGCTGCCCAGAATGCACAGCGATGGTAAGAGACATCGTGGCCATTCTTCATCAGAAGCTTTAATCAAAGAAGATGAGCGGAAGACAATCGCTGGCTCCCTGTTACCAGAAAGCCAAATTTTATAATGTGGGTGAAAGAAAAATACGGAGTAAAATTGCTGGGCAGTGAAAAGGGATGGGAGTTGAAAATCAGAAAGAAAGAGAAATATTTCATTATGTTAATGAAGAAAAGAGAAAATTGAAGCATAAATGTATTTTTGAAGTAGTTATTCAGTAACTGAGAACTTATTAAGGGATTTAGGAATCTAACCTCCAGATGTAGATTCCTCAAAGACTTAATCCGAGAATATTCTTGTTTCACCATTACGTTGGTACAGTATAGTACCATTATTTTATGTTGTGCCAGTGAATCCAATTGCCAGAAATAAGTCTGAATGTTTTCATGCATCTTTTTCTTAAATGCAAGAGCTTCTACTGACTCTTAACAAGCATGCTTACCCAAATTTTGTTGCATGCTTTTAAGTAGCATTAGCTATACACACTTGACATTTTTAAATATTCCTTTCCTAGTGTACCAGCCTTCACAGGATAAGAGGACTGGGAATAAAGTCAGATGTAATGTGACCCTAGAAAACTGTAGCAAGCTTCAAAAATAAATCTTTTGATCTTTCCTTATCTCGATTAGATCCAAAGTCAAAGCAACCATACTTCGCCTAACAAAGATAGTGTTGACAATCATGACACCTGTTTTAAAAACCTGACTCCAAAATGAAAACTTAAGCAAGATACAAATATGCTGCCTGCAGTAGTCCTGCATGGGAATAAGGACCAGTTATTTTTTAGGGCTGCATTTTTTAAAAGTTGGGTTGCTGCTATTAAAAGAAAACAAAGAACAAAGATTAAAAAAAAAAATACCCAAAGACTTAACAGAACATGGAAAGTTTCCACTACATTGTGTGTGAGGAAATCTTCATCTTATATTTTACAAATCTGCAGATTGCATCCACAAATACAGTATAATATCTACTGTCAATGCAAAAGAATCAGTGAGATTAAAGTAGTGGAAGGTTCCCTATGAGCCTACAGTCTGTATTGTTTACATTAAGAAACACTCTATTGTTGTGTAGCTGTTTTCCATGGAGTCACAGGCACAGTATGACTTCTGCTTCCAAATACATGTGACTGTTAATGACCATGTGTAAATACCACCTTGCATTGAATTGTTCTGTCACAATTGTTTTGTGCCCCTTTAATTAAAAACACATGAAATTAATAACAAAACAAGACCCAAATAGAGTTTATTTTATTCTCAGTGTTTGGACTACAGTTTTCTGAGATGTTGCTGGTCCATAATATGGAAGCCTTCTATTTTCTATTTCAACCCAAAAGTAAGCATTTAACCTGGTAAATAAATTTAGATCCTGCCGTTCACTGGTATTTTGAAGAGCCTCTTGAAATTGGATTATTTGATTTAAAAATAAAAAATGTTAATACCGGTTGGCCTGTTATAAAAAGCCAGGACCATGTTAGAGCTAAGAAAAGGAACCAGCATTACTGCACTTCTTGTTAGACTCTGTGCATTAATAAAATACACTCAGAGTCTGTTGTCATTTTACTAATAGGGTAAGACATATTTTTGCTTTGACAAAATTTTTCTGCATGCCCAGGTGTCTGTCTCTGCCTGAAGTTAGTGTTTCAATCCAGCCATAAAAATTAACTTGTGATTTTTTCCCCTAAAGTCATGCTTTTCCTTAATTATATTTTATTTTATTATTTTAGTGTCTTGGGAAAAATACCAAGAGATATAACATCTCTTCTAATTGTCTATGCTTAATCATCTTTAAACACTTTTAAAATTTTTAACCACAGGGCCACTCTATAATGGTAAATATTAGACATCGCTGTTTTTTTGTTTTTTTGTTTTTTTGTTTTTTTTTTTGAGATGGAGTTTTGCTCTTGTTACCCAGGCTGGAGTGCAATGGCACGATCTTGGCTCACCGCAACCTCTGCCTCCTGGGTTCAAGCAATTCTCCTGCCTCAGCCTCCTGAGTAGCTGGGATTACAGGCACGTGCCACCATGCCCAGCTAATTTTTTGTATTTTTAGTAGAGACGGGGTTTCCCCATGTTGACCAGGTTGGTTTCGATCTCTTGAGCTCGTGATCCACCCGCCTCGGCCTCCCAAAGTGCTGGGATTACAGGCTTGAGCCACCGCACCCGGCTAGACATCACTATTTTATCACTCAAAGTACATGTCACTGAAAGTTTCTATTTGGTTGATAAAAGGAACAGTTTCTTCCCACTTTTGGTGCCTATGATGCAGTTTTTTAATTGCCTACAATGAGATATACTCAGTACAAAAAATGAAAATCCGAATTTTCAAAATTGTTTTCCTTGTATAATAGGTCAGATTTATTACATACTCATACTTTTTATTTATACTAATTGATACATTAAGAAAAAATTTTCTCAGTTTGAGAAAAGTTTAAAAGTTAAAAAAAAAAAAAACAGCCACTGCTCGTCTACTATTTAGGTAATTGGAACCACCAATTATTTGATTAGAATGATTGCTTGAGTAAAAAGCTGTAGAAAGAATTAGAGGATTATGAGCTAAGCTGTATTTTGCAGAATATGGCTCTGTTTCAGCAGAGCAGAGATGAGGCATATCCCCACCAGCCGCCCAGCCAGAGGTCTCCTACCTGGGGGCCCTAAAGGGAGGCAGAGTCCTGGCCCACCCTCCGTGCATACGCTCCTCTGCCCACCACCTGCGTTTCAGCAATCCAACCAGTAAGTGTATCTTGATTAGGAAAAATAAATGTGTGTGGGAATTGGATTTCTTTTGTGGTAACATAATTCCAGGTTTTTGTCTATTAAAAGTGTGACATTAGGCTGACATCGAGGAAGTAAGTGGGTTTTCCTGCGTTCCCAAGATATGATTAAGGAAGAAAACAAATCCATCTCCAGGAAAATCCCAGGCAGGAAAGAACCAGACAGATGTAAAAATCGAAGTGACCATTTTAGTTTCTTGTTTTTTCTTTTTTGGTTTTTTTAATGGAGAATAAAAACATTGACATTAAGGTATTAAGAAGATGCTCAGCAGGCTTGATCAGTGTCTTCATAGTCATTACCAATCAGTCTGACAAAATAGTTCTCTAGCGGTCAGCATTCATTTAAGGCAGCTTGCCTGATAATTTGCTGTGTATGTGAAGTGTCTTGCATTTTTACATGTTAGCTATAATTCCTGAAACTGCTTAACTGAAAGCTATAATAGAGAACCATTTTGGCATTTGAACTGCTATTTTACATGTAGGAAAAAGCAAACACATCTGTTTCTCTGCTTTACCCGAAAAACTGACTTTCTGGTTTCAGCTTCATAGTGTTTAGTAGCATAACGAGAGTAGTCTCTTATATCTCGAATATTAGTAAATATATTGTTAGTAGGAAGTTCTGAAATTGAAGGGAAAATATATTTAAGGAAATAAAGGAATTGAATATACCCTTCAAAAATCACCCATACTGAAAATAAGAGATGAGTCCTTAAAACCTGAGTCAAAAAAGATCCGGTTTTATACCCTGCAATTAATTCAGGGCTGCATTGGCATTAAAAAAAATTAAATAAATATATATGTATCATATATATAGTAGCTTACACTTAAAAGAGAAAATATTGCATTAACACTGCATATTCTGATATATACCACATTAACACATAACAGGCATTTTATTTATGCTTCATAGAGTCAGACACAACTTTCAAAAATAATACTATATTTGCAATAGAAAAGGGTATTCTTGTCTACCACAAAATGGTATGTCCACACTTAACGATGAAAATTTTCTTCTTTTCCTGCTCAAAAATTTCTTCAGTCTGTTATTTTTAAGTGACCCTTGCTGCAGATTTTAAACAGAGCAAGAAATCCTCCTCGGAGTAGGTGGCGTGGAATTAAACTACCAGAATATATGTGAATTCATGTCATTTACCCCTGAGTATGGTAGAACTGTTAAAGCATTCCTAAATTCCAATTATATGAAGCCTATCATTACTGGGGAAAGTATATTCCTTGGGATAAGAATTAATTTCTTCACACCATTAGAGTATGTTGTGAGGAGTAAGGAACTACTTAGATGTGATTTATTTATAGAATTGTCCCTTGGCCTCTTGAAATGGCTAGATCTTTCACTGCTGAGTAGTTTATCTACTTGCTGGTAGGTAGACTACACTGCTTTACTGGACAAAGCAGAATGAACTTAAAGAACTAAAATATGTCCTACATTGGCCGGGAGCAGTGACTCACACTTGTAATCCCAGCACTTTGGGAGGCCGAGGTGAATGGATCACTTGAGGTCAGGAGTTTGAGACCAGCCTGGCCAACATGGTGAAATACCCAAAACAAAAATTAGCCAGGCATGGTGGCTTGTGCCTATAATCCCAGCTACTGGAGAGGCTGAGGCAGGAGGCTTAAACCCAGGGGGCAGAGGTTGCAGTGAGCCGAGATTGTGCCACTGCACTCCAGCCAGGGCAATAGAGCAAGACTCCATCTCAAAAAAATAATAATAAAAATAAATAAAATAAAATATGTCCTAGAAGGAAAAGCAATGACAGAGTAATCATCAAATTAATAGGAACCTCTTTCTAGAGAAAGTACATCCCCAGTTAGTTCAAACCCAGGTTTCAAAGAAGCAGCATTGGGCTCTGTTGTAAAGGCAGGTAGTGACCAAGAGCTGGTGGGGAGAGAAGCGGAGCACCCTCAAACCATTCCCATTTTCACTTCCAATTTACTTTTTGCAATCATTAAGCTTAAGCTATGTATGGAAATGCAAAGCAATATTAGCGTTTCTAGAAGGCAGCTGAAACCTTACCCACCAATGCTTTTTTGAAGAGAGTGTCATCCCAAATTTTAAAATCCCATTGTATATGTACAATTTCTGGCAAAGAAATGGAGGATCCTGTGTCAGCTATTCCCACATAAAGCCAACCATTTAAGGATTGGTCGTGTTTAAGCCATGCTAGGATTTACTGCACACACAAAAAAATGTCATTTAGCTTGTCGAATTGCTAGCACAGCTGCACATATGAGTGAAGCACTGTTGGTCAGTGTTTCTCAGTGGGGGTGCTCTTGGCATTTGGAGCTGGGCAGGTCTTTGCTGTACAGAATCATCCCATGCATTGCCAGATGTTTAATATCCCAGGCCCCTGCTGACTAAATGTCAGTAGCATTCCCAGCCATTGTAAACACCAAGAATAAAAAGCCTTCCCTGTGTTCAAATGCTCTCCCTGGGAGGTTGGTATCACCTTCCCTGAATGCCACTGTCTACTGCAATTTGAGAACACGTGGAGAAAAAGTGCCTGTCCCCAAACATTGTCTCTGCTGCCTTGCCTTTCTTTGGGCCCTGAATGGTTTTTCTCCCTTCATTTATTGAGCCGTTGTTTCAGTGTAGCTTTAATTTGCCAGTTCTTCAGGGAGGAGGTTACTGGGCAGCTTTGGCCATTCCGTGGGCATGGGGACTTGGCCTAGTCCCTATGTATACTTAAAGGAGAACTCATAGATGAAGAAAGCTTTTTTTTTCTTTGCCTTACAAATTTACTTTAGAAGCGCATTCTTGGTCATAATCCTTCTTAATGGCAAGAGGATTGTTGCATGAATTAAACACAAACACAGACTAACAATGCACTTGAACAAAACTGGTGGTCTTTGGAAATAAATCACCATTAGATTTCACCTGTTTATGCTGCATCCCATAAGTTCCAAGTGAATCGCCTGCTTATCCTATTAACGAAGCATTTAATTCACACGCAGATGCTTGAATTCCCCCTTGTATAAATATAGTCATGCGGTTCAACTTTTCTAACAAGATTTGTGAATGCTGCATTATAACAA